TCATATACACAGGGAATTCTCTTAGGAAGAAGTAGTGCAGTGGTTTCCTCTTGCCTTCTGCACCGCAGTATCACAGCCGGTTAAATCATTATTTGATTGCCGCCTGTGAATATGTGATATCAAACCTGAGAGAAGGTTATTTTCCTTCAGCCTTGAATCACTAATGACATAGCTGCTGCCCTATGCCATATCCTCAGTTGATCCGCGGGTGCTTATTTGGTAAGACCTTATTCACACCTGTCCTATATATCTATAGGAACGTTCCCTATCAGCCATTGGGACGCGTCGTGTCGAGGTTGAGGACTCCCCCGCCCATTTGTCTTCCGTGAAGTACAGAAGAGCCCCTACTCAATTCAGAACTCCCCCTTCACGCAAGCTAAAACAGACACGAATAGTTGATTACAGATGGTGTGTATTTCCTGGACTAGTATAATATTTCCTGGACTACACCGCAGAATTTTATACTAGTAGTATAAAATTCTTCGGTGTATTCAACAGTCTTTATTCTTGGACGCATCGATGTACAAAATTTCATCAAATTGTGTTAAGTTGAGGACGTTTTGGAAGGATTTTCTTAAGACTGAGTTTGTGGTTTCTGTTTTATTGAATCTGCATAAATCAGTATTTACTATTGGAAGATTGTACATCCATGGAGCTGTCTTGGGGGTATAAATATAAGTAGTATTGGAAAGGTTAATAGAATCTAATAAAGGAGATAATATTTGTGGTAATGTGAGTGAGTGATTGGATGCATTTGCTGGGGAAGGTTCTGTGTTATTGATAAGATTTATTACCGGGTTACTTGGGTTTGCTGATATTTTTACTAAGTATGAAAGTAGAAGTTGCTGCCTTCTTAGATGGAGTAAGCTCTAAAGACTCAACACAAACACTTTCAGCAGGGCTTGATTTGAAGGCACCAAGACATAGTCGTAGGGATGTATTTTAAATCGTGTTTAGAGACTATAGTAAAGAGCTACTAGATGTCATATAAAGAATACTGCCATAGCCTAGCTTAGAGCGAATTAACGTATATTTTAAGGAGAGACTCTTCATCAGCTTCCCAAGAGTAGTCAGCAAGATATTTAAGTAAATTAATTTTTTGGGTACAGTTTCCTTTAAGTTAATGAATATGCTGTCTCCAGATAAGCTTTTTATCAAAAGTGATACCAAGAAGTGTCAAATAGTTAAATGTTTGTAAACTAAGTCCGTTTAGAGTTATGGAAGGTAGATTAGGTCTATACTTTTTGGTAAAGTGAATTACTTTGGATTTGGAAGCTGAAAATACAAATCCAGTAGACCAGGTGTCTATTTTGTATATTGCATTTTGAGGCAAAGTGCTGGTAGTAGCTGTGACTCTGCCTTAGCAGTATAATACAATATCATATGCATATATCGAGTACCTGACTTTTAGTTCTATATATGAGAAAAAGTCATTCATGCTAAGTAAAAATAAGGTAGTGCTTAAAACTAAGCACTGAGGCAAACCGTTATCCAAAATATGTGGTTTTGATATTTTTCCAGTTGTTAATACTATAAAATATCGATTTGTTAAAAAAAATTGAAAAAGTAAATAAATGTTACCAGTTAAATTATATTCTGTTAATTTTCTGAGAATTAAAGGTCTTTGTACAGTGTCGAAGGCACTTTGGATACCTAAAGTTGCTGCTATGACTTCGCTTCTATCCGAAAATGCGTTAACAATGTCAGTGTGTAGTGTGACCTCCGTCACCCTCGGTCACTTCGATTTGATCTGAAGCTTGTTGGGAATGGACCAAGAATAATATTTCTTTCTAGATACCATAGTAAGCGTTTATTGACCATCTTTTCTAATAGTTTTTACAGTGAACAAGTGAGGGAAATTGATCTATATGATTTTAGAAGATTAAGAGATGAGTCATTCTTTCTGATAGGCATTGTAATTGCTAGTCGCCATAACGTTGGAAACTGTTTTTGAGACCAGATCTTATTATATAACTTTAGCAGTTTGAGATGTGTGTCTGGATGAAGATTTTATAAGAATATTGATGAGATATCTTCTGGACCTGTACTTGTATTCCAGACGATATCCCATCAATATTCTTATAAAATTTCATCCAGACACATATCTCAAACTGCTAAAGTTATATATATATAATAAGATCTGGTCTCAAAAACAGTTTCCACAAGTTTTCACTACAAACTACAAGTTGCGAAAAGGGCAATGGAGAGAATAATGTTAGAGATTTCTCTACGTGATAGAATACCCAATGCTACCTACTATACCCAATACTATACGCAAAAGATCAGGAGTAGCAGACGTTATTGAAAGGATAACAACACTAAAGTGGAACTGGGCATGTCATGTAGCAAGATCAGTTGATGACCGGTGGACAAAAAGAATTTTGGAATGGAGACCCCGAATACAAGCTAACATAAATAGAGGTCGAGATGGACAGATGGCATAAAAAGAGTGACTACAAATTGGATTCAGATGGCGCAAAATCGGACTAAGTGGAAAAACATGCGAGAGGCCTATGTTCAGCAGTGGACGTTAGAGGCTAGTTGATGATGATGATGATCGTTTGAACGGGCTGCTGAGTTTTTTAATGAGGAGATTGCTTCGTTTAATTCTAAGAGATTAAAACGAAGATTAATAGAATTAGTGTTAGAAGATATTTTATAGCTAATATATTGGTATCTGAGTTAATATATTGGGAAGATTAGGAATATTTGATTTATCTGAAAAGTGAAAGGCAGAGATATTTGCAATATTTTGGTCATCGGCAACTGTTTGATCCTGCAGGGAGATGATTCTACCTTTCATGTGATCAAAGATAAGACGTGGGTGAATTTGCTCTGGTGAATTGAACTAACATACTGATTCAACGAGGCTTTCTTACTGTCTTTTAAAATACGCCTAGAATTAGCCCTAAATATTTTAAAGTTTAGTAGATCTGTGGTAGTACGGGTCTTCCGGAATATATTTTTAATGCTTTTTTGCATTGTTTGACAGCTATTTTGCACGATTCATTCCATTACGGAATAGGTTTCTGAAAGGATCAATCGCGCATTGTCCAATACATTCCTCAACAGATTCAGTTAAACAGATTTCTAATAGCCTTACATATGTATCTATATCATTGTTAAAAAGTAATTCATCGGTAATTCCCTTAACAGTGGTTTTAAAAAGGTCCCAGTTTGCTTGAGTGATTTTCCATTTTGTTGGATTCTAAGGCATTTTTGACTGACCAGAGATGAAAATCGGAAAATGATTACTGTTATAAAGGCTGTTTTATATGTACCATGAAAGTAAAGGAAATATACCGGGATTACAGAAAGATAAATCTATGGAAGAGGTAAAAATATTGTTTTTTGATATTACTGTTATCTTTTAAAAATATGGCAAATATTCTTTTTAAATTACTGGAAAGACAGTTGTTGCGAGATATCACTAAATAGAATAGACAAAATAGAATGCCTACTTTACAATTGTTTTTTCACGAAAGGGTCTAGCCGGGTAAGATAGTGAAAAATGCCCCCAGCGATATTATCAAATTATTTTCGTGATTTTTTTCAGATTTTTATAGATGAAAAATCATTTTCGGTTTAGCCGGTGGATATACCGAAAATACTATATTGTTTCAAAAAATTTAATGAATATTGGCGAATGTCAGGATAGACTCCTTCGACTGGCCAACCCTTGTTAAGTATTTAATTTATATAAACTACTTACCTCAATAATAATCTCATTCGCATACCAATAATACCCCAAAAGTCTAGTCAACATGCAGATAACAAACATAATGGAGAAAACGAAATTAAAAAGATTAACTTCAAACTATAACAGAAAATATATATATTTAGTTAGGTATACTACTTTAGTTAGGTACGTAAGTGTGTTCCAACGACAATTTGACCCCACCAGAAACTCAGAAACCGAAAGTTTCTTCGAAAATTCATTTTTTGTGTCATTCTACACGACACTATTTTTTTTTTAATTTAAGAGCTTTGAAGATAACTTTGAATATAGCTAATTTATTGATTGAACATTAGTAATAACAAAAAACATAAAATTTCATCAAATTAACCAATTAAATGTTCGAAATTATCTCCTGTGACCTCCATACAATAATACAGTCTATTTTCAAAGCCTTTTTGTACATTTGCAAATACCTCCGGCATTAATCGTCAATAGTCGGCATTCTGTCACAGTACTTTGTCGCAACTCTGCAAGATCTGTAGGCGGAGTGGCGTATATTTTTGATTTTGGGTATCCCCACAAAAAAATACAAAGGCGAACGATCCGGTGATCTGGCCAGTCACTCAATTGGACCCCATTCTGCCAATCCAACGCCCAGGAAAACATCGATTCAAAAGTTGTCCTACGCGTATAATGCGTGTGGGGATGCCCCGTCCTGTTGGAAAGTAAGTTCATCCTCTAAAAGATTATTATCAGATTCCAAAATGTCAGTGATCAGGGGATCAATAACGTCTTCTCACAAATTTAAATAGGCTCTTGAGTTGAGATTTCCTTCAAGAAATAATGATTAAATAATTCCTAAAATGCCAACCCATAATTTAATTACTGTTACTCCAATAACGACAATCATTGAATTCTTTACAAAATTGAAGCCGACGATCTGAATAATCTTTTTTTAATTGATAAAGGACTCGAATTTTATATTTATGGGATTTTATAAATCGACAAACACTAGATGCTAATACACCAGATGCACGAGATAGTTGTCTGATAGACTGTCGATGCTCCATTTGTAAATAAGCCAAAAAAAATGACCTTTCAAATGATGTGCCATTCGACCACACTTGCTATTAAAAAAAAACTGGGGTTATTGCGGGGTATTAGGGGGTTACATTTAAGGGCATCAATTTTGCATGAAAATTCATCCCCCTCCAAATACAAATTGACGTGTTTTTTTTTTTAATTTTGAAGAAACTTATAGTTTTTGATTTTCTGGGAGTAAAATTTTTTTTGGAACACACTGTATTTGAGCAATATTTGATCAATTTTTACGTACAAATATCAGTTGCAATACTATTGCAGCTAGTTGCAAAGAACTTTGAAGAAAATCTAGAAGAATTACTATATTCATTTCTTTGTTAAACGCATGAATGTATCTGAAAAAGAAAAACATGTCTTTGTATGCACTTAACTACAAATCTTCTTTAACTTACGATATGATATCCTTGTGTTTCAGAATACATTCTCTCAATGTGATAAAGCTAGCTTCATCCCTATCCACACCAAGTTGTTCTTGTATTTTAACAACGTAATCTTCAAAATGGGATAAGATATAATTTAGAATAACAGTTTGTCCCAATGGAAATGTGATGATTCCAAACGAAAATAAATCTGTATTGTTGACGAAGGAAGCTCCTACATAAGCGTCTAGGATATGAAACATGTAAGCTCTTAGGTAATGTTTTTGGTCATCAAACGGAAACCATGACGAGAGTGGAAGCGGTCTTATGTATACTGTTTCATTTGTAACAGGATCATACCTTGCCCTAGGATCCAAGCCGAGGGGATGAACGAAAAATAAGTTGGTTACTACAAAAAATAATGTTATAGCAATCTAAAGGCGGTAAAAGAACTACGCAGGGTAATAAATTATTATCAGCAAGTATCCAAAACATATTCAGGGTGTATCAAGACATTTAAAGTAAAACTTTCACACTATCCATTACATTTATTTTCTTTCTCCATGATAGGCACGTGTTTATAAACCATAGGTCTTTTCATTGACATGAAATAAAGTGTACACTCTTAACGCATAACGGTGTTGTGTATTTAGGGATAAATGGAATAAATTTGAAGATAGTCAGGTTTACTACTTTATTACACTTACCATATTTAACCTGAATTAGACTCTGAAGAATGTTCGATGTTCGGCATTGCTTTGATCCAATTGTATACGGAAGCAGATACCCCTTCTGATGCTGCTGCATCACAAAGAGAATTTGACAGTGTATTATTTAATGCAACTTCTATATCTAGGAAGGCGGTTATTGCAATCTCTCCAGTATTAACGGAGTGAATAATTTTCTGAACTATTTCATCTAGAACTGTTAATTTCTGGTTTTCCTACCTGATATATATGCTGGTTGCTATTGAGGGGATGATCCCTCAATGGTCCCCCTTTAATGTGTCTATCGAGAATTTTTTCGATTGTTTTCAACAGAAATGATGTAAGATTAGCCGGTCTGTAGAATTTAGGTAGGGCGTTGTCTTGTCGTTCTATTTTGTGTATATACATTACCCTTACCGTTGTCTAAGTCTTCGGTATATAACCTAGCTATACTAGCCCTAAAGATTATTTTAGAATAGGCAATAGGATGTCCAATTCTTTTTGTATTAGGGCAGGAAATATTCCATCTTCCCCTTAAGCTTTAAATGTAGAAAAATGGTTTATGGTGCACTTTACGTTTTCCAGTTTGATGTTTATTGCGGAGTTTCCAGTTCCCAGTTTGCTTTCCTAGGACGGTTTTCAGCTTTTTTAGATTGGGCAAAGGTGCCATCAGTTCTTTTAAGTATTCTTGTTCCCTACGCTTAGCTTTTTATTGTATTCGGTAAGAATTTTTCTGTATATTTCCCAGTTCCCAAATTCTTTGGCTTTAATCGATAGCCTACTTACTTCTTTTCTTAATTTTTCCAGTTTTTTGATCCACCAAAGTGTTTGTCTGTTATTAGTCTTGTTTTGATTAGGTAGTTCTCCTGATATGAAGTGATAATTGCTTCCGTGATTCGATCATTTGCCTCTTTCATATCTAAACATGTTTTGATATTACCAATTGCATTTCCTATATTTGCTTCCAAAACGGTACGATCCCTTTAGCTGATTAAAGGTCGATTCAGACACATCAGTCACGTCTCATCACAGTCCTGGCGCCGAACCGAATAATCCGTCATACAAAATATTCTTTAATAGAAATATGGCGCCGGCACTTACATTCATCAGGCGACGAACAGTTTCCCAGCTGTCAGATAATTAATAGTTCTGTGACCAAACAGGACCGGTTCGGCGCCGAGACTGTGACGGGACTGATGTGTCTGAATCGACCTTAAGGGTGGTTTATTTGTATATAAGGTAAATTTTTAACTAGCGACACACGCTAGTTAAAAGCTTTGTTGCTAGTAGTATTTATAGTTATATCAATAACGTTCGGCCTTTCCTGTTGATAAAGTAGGTTCATTGCCTTAATTATTCAATATGAGTCCTCATAGAATATAAGAATATAGTTAAAAAGGTAATTACTTCGTTCATTGTTTTTTTTTTGCTTCCTCATAGCATACCATGTAATGTGAGTTGGCATCGCAGCCGATGACTTGTAGTCCATTCCTTTTACAATGTTCGATCACTTTCCGAATCGCCGTAGGAGGGGATCTATTGCTGTTCTATCTCCTGGGAAGTACGCCGAGAATACGATTATATCATGTCTAACTGCTTTCTTCCTTATAGTGATTTGAGTTGTAGTCACATCTTCCATACAGAAATCTGAAAGTAAGAAAGTCTTCCTTATAAAATATTATAAAGTTGAAACTAATACTAGGCCGCCAATTGGGCCTGCTCTAGTAACCCAAGGCTTCTGGATTAGTGTTACATATGTGGCTTCATTTGCGAACCTTCTGACAATGGTATATGAAGCAGCCTGGGTATGGTGAAAATTCGCCTGCATGAATTTAATCATTGTTAAATCGTGAAGGGTCTTTTCACCCATACCCTTTGGTAGAGCCATCTTTATTGGTTATAATTTCAAACCTATCTCAAGGGCGTAATTTGGCATTAAGAGAGGTTTTCAGTTGCCTCTCCTATCGTTTTAGCGGTTGCTGGCCTTGTGAGCAAGAGGATGCTTCTCGTTTATTCTGGCCTACTCTAGTCTGATGATGACCTGACCAAAGCCGAAAATGAGCCTAAAGTTTAATTTCTTCAAGACCTTCTTAGATAGATTGTGTATTAAGAAAGTCCAGGTATTTCCTAGACCAGATTTACCGCAGAGCAGTACTTTCCAGTCCTGCGTCCAGGCCTCGATTTACCTTCCTTAATCTGTTAAAAAAAATTTAGCAGACGTTTATATATAATTTCAGCCATTAAATCTGCACGATAAGGCAAACCTTTTTATTTTTAGTTTTATAAAGAAAAGTGATTCTTAATAAAAAGTTCTGAATGATCTAAAATCTAGAATATAATCATCAGCTACTAAAATTTTTTAGTACAGCGACAAACTGCTGCAGTAATTTCCGACCATGCCTTTATAATGAAACAAACCTTCATTTTGCTGAAAATGTTTTGGGGAAAATCTTGTGGATGATTGATTTATTAGTCTGCGTAATTATTTTACAGATTTTAATACGGCACATACAATAGAAAAAAGGCTACCTAATACTTACCAATTATCACAGTTATAATAAAAACTTGACTGATAATTCTATTTTGCCACGCATAGTTATTAAATATATCTATAAGTGGTTGATCCTCACTGTCCATGATCTTTTTCTCCCAATCTATAACATTCTTTATAATATTCATCATTCTAGGTCCCCTTATTGCCCGAGCTCTCCAAATAGTGACGCTGTAGATGAAGGTGATGGAAATGTTCCCCATGATCTCCGTAGCGGGTATGGGAATTTCTTGGAACAGCTGGAAGAACTTAATCCAGCCTGATACGATGAAGAGGAAGTAGTAGGTGAGAGTAATTTTACAGTACACATCGTAGATCTTTTTTAGAGTCGGGTAATCTTCGAAAATAAAGGGCCAAATGCCAAATACGGCATTGGCGTACATGCTCAATTTCATGTGCTCGCATTTTGGGAATATCTAAAATAAAAGACATATATACTGAACGGCAAAAAAGTGACCACCCTATAAATTTTCAAAAATAAAAATTCATTGAAAGTTTTATGCACTGTTTCATATTTTGTCCCAATTTAAAATATTTATAAGCTTACACAAAAAATACTTAGAGGAATAGAAGAGAAGTAGAAGACAAATAGAAGAAGGATATATCATTAGGAGAAGAGGATATAATAGAAGGAAAGATTATTTGGAGAAATAAATAAGTAAAAGCACGAATTACTACTTGAAGGAACTTAGTAAATGAAGACCTCCAGACCACAAATCTAAATAAATACTTGAGTTTTAATATGAAGATATAAAGGAAGGGGATTTAAACAGAAAGCCAGAACACAAACCAGAGGCACTCCAGTTGCCCATCAACTTTAATATGGAAGAGAGTGAATAAAATGAACAACAAACACACAAACAATAAACATGCTCCTCTTTCAGTTGCAGAAGATATTCTACAGAAGCTATGTCCAACTTTTGTTGAGAAACATATACCTCAACCCGGTATACTTATAGAAGAACATTATTTACTATAAGAAATAACGTCATGGAATATGGTCCAGATCAGATTTCGTATAATTACGTTACAAAAAATGGGTATGCCAAAAGATTACTACTGCATATTTATAACTGTATCTTGCAAACTGGAATTTTTCCTTACACATGTAATTATTGCTTCGTTATATTAATTCTAAAACCGGAAAAAAAGATCATGCGGATTCATATCGACCAATTATATTGTTATTATGCATTTTTAAAACATTGTAAAGAATTCGAAAATTAAGAATGAAAACTTGGATAAGGCAACAAAGGATACTACCAGCAACACAATTTGGCTTCAAACAAGGCTGTGTTACGAAGTATGCGGTCCATGACAAGTGCATTGTTTATCGACATAAAAAGTGCTTATGACAATATTGATTTAAATATACTGTGAGATAAACTTGTAGTTCTTGATGTTTCAAAATCCATGTCATATTTACTATCAAATTTGTATAAAGACAGAAGCGTATCGATGCGAGTAGGTCATAATATCATAGGACCAATGATTACATCAAAAGGCGTTCCACAGGGAGCTGTCTAAGTCTACTACCTTTTTAATCTGTACACATACGATTAGCACAATTTATGGTCTTCCAATATTACTTGTATACAATATGCTGACGATATTGTCACCTATTCACAGAAAAAAACATACATTGAATGTATTATTATATATTTTTTTCTAGAACACCATATTAAAGATGATTCTGTATACTTGCAGGACAATGCCATACCAATTGTTTCGGAATTTAAAAACCTTGGTGTAATACTTGACTGAAGACTGCTTTGGACTCAACATAATAACTACACAAGTAATCGCTGCGAAAAAGGTATTAATTTACTTAAAATGCTCTGTTAGAGATCGTGGGGTGCAAATCAAAATATTGGATTGAATTTTTATCGAGCCTATATGAGATCTAGTATAGATTACGGTTGTTTTGCTATTTGGGTCAGGTCGTATAACTAATTTACGTAAACTTGATAGCATCCAATTTAAATCTTTAAAAATTGTGTACGGGGTTGATGAAAAGCACTCCAAATGAAGCCACACTGGTTCTAGCCTCTGAAAACTCACTCCCATTACGGACTGTATCTGGCAACCTATAATGTATAATGTAATGTATCGGTGCACCTATAATGCTAAAATAATTAATCAATCAAATACAGCTGATATAACAATTACATTCGTCTTAAAAATGAATTCCCCACCACTTGCAAAAGCATTTGTAACTTGCAATGAATTTAAGGTAATAAATTATCCCTATAATTATATTTGGGAATCATTGGTCATACCACATCTAATAAGTGTTCTGTCTAAAACATTATTATTACTAAATACCAAACTGAATTTTGTCATAATACTCTCAAGGGGATCTTAAGTAACTATTCAGATTACATTTCAATCTATACAAATGGGTTAAAATTACAGCACTTACTTTGTACCAAAAATGAAGACTAAAAAGCATTCACTTTAAATAATCAATCAAGCATTTTTCGCTAAAGCATGTGCTATATATAAAGCCCTTGAATAGTGTTATGAAAACCAGTGGAACAAAATTATCGTATTCACTGATTCATTATCAGTATTAAATACATTACAAAACTTTAAAATTTTTTCAACAGTTACTAAAATCACAAACACTCAGCTTTATCACATGATGTTAAATTCGTACGGGTTAGGGGACATTCAGACATATGTATTGGGTAATAGTATTGTTGATTTAATAGCTAAAAATCCACTTAAGCACCCACATATATTAATTGAATAATTTAGTATATGTGATACTCGTGCATATGTAAAACAGCATATTAAATTTAAATGGGATAGACGTTAGATTCAGTTCGGTGAAACTACAGACACTAATTTGTTTAAATCTGAGAACTACGAATTAACGAACTGTGTTCGTTAATTCTCTGTTTAAATACAACCAACAGCGGCTGCGAACCAATTTTCCAGAAGTTGTACTAAGTAGAAATAATACAGTGTCGTTATCCCAAGATTAAAAGTAGATCATGGATGTTTTCCGAAGCATCTACATAAAATCGGAATTCTCCCAACAGACAAATGTGAGTGTGGAACTAGTATAGCTGATCTAACTCACATATTCTCTAACTGTCCCTTACATATCGATACAAGTACGTGGCTGCTTCCAGAATTGCTGTAAGCAGGTTTAAAGATGCCATTATACTTAAATATACCGGGTTTTTTATTATATTTTGACTCTCACTTATTTTCCTTAATTTCGGGAATACAATAAAAAGTTTCCAATAAAAGTTGTATTATTTTATCTGCACCGACCAACAATGTAGCAACAGACCAAATTTTATATACAGGGAGTGCCCAATAAAATGCATGTTCAATATTTCAAATGGGACACTCTGTATTTTTTTATAGTTTTAAGTAGCCCTGCATTTCCTGATATTTCAAAATGAAACAATTAATTTATTATAAACTGTCAGTCCTCATACCGAAATGGGTTATACTCAATATAAACTGATTTAACCAGATCGACAGACTCCTTCTGCAAATACATTTTTATATAATTATCGTTATGTCATAAATGAAAAAATGTTTGAACGGAAGAAACGTACTATCGTAGGAAATGATGATGAAGATCTTAATAATTTGCTTTACTTTGATGGTAAAAATTAAATACTTAAATAATAGATTAAATCCATAATAACATTTTTATTTTAGAAAATTCCGAAACTAGTCTAAACAATAATTCTACTAATACATTAGAGAAAAGCCGTGCGACAATACATAGAGTTTTAAAAAAGCACAACTATAAGCCGTACAAAATATTACCGGTACAAGAACTTACTTACCGATGTTCATAAGAGAAAGCGTTTACAGTTCTATCAAGATATGCTTAAAAATTTGAACAATGATCCTAATTATTTTTATAACATTTTATGAACAAATGAATTAAATTTTTCAACTTTAGGCATTTTTAATAGAAGAAATAGGTAAATCATCAATAGGAAAATCAGGAAAAAATCAATAAATGTGTGGTGCGGAATATTTCAAACAAAATAGTTGGACCATTGTTTTATGATTATAAATTAACTTTGGAATCATATTTGGACACAGTCATTACAGAAGTGGATGAGTTATTAAATCAAAATCAATTAAACACAAAATCAATTAAATAGTATGATATGGCAAGAAGATGGAGCACCGCCACATAATGTCGTAGCCGTTCAAGACATGGCCAATTTTAATTACATGGCCACCAAATAGTCCCGACTTAACACCATGTGATAGCTTTTTATAAGGGTTTTGAAGAGAAAAATTGTATTTTGATTCAAATACAAATATTAACACTATTACGGCAAAAGTTCGCGCGGAAATTGAAAATTTAAATGGTCATAATAACATAATATCTGACGCATTAGAAAATTTGAGACGAAGATATTACTTTTGCATTGATAACAATGGAGGGCACTTTGAGCATCTATTGTAATCTTAAATGTAGTATTGTATCTAAAATGTAGTGTTTTAAGTCATTAATTTTGTTGACTTTCCAAATACATTTTTTTTTCTAAATATATTTTTTTCTTATCTTAGTATAAGTAGTACCATACGCCATTATAGAACAAAACTAATGCTACACTATGTTATATATTTCTAATCAGGAAATGCAGGGCTACTCAAAACTATAAAAAACTACAGGGTGTCCAATTTAAAATATTAAAGATGCATTTTATTGGCACTCCCTGTATACAAAATTTGGTCTGTTGCTACACTGTTAGTCGGTACAGATAAAATAATACAACTTTTATTTAAAACTTTTATTTGTATTCCCGAAATTAAGAAAAAAAGTGGGGGGTCAAAATATGCAGGGTACGTATGCCAGGTGTAGACTGGTGCCTGATGTTTGAAAGAAGATGGTCTCATGAAATCAGTAGAAGGGTAGCGCAAAACCTGCCGAAAAACAGGGCAATGGCAGGATCACAGGAAATGATGGAGGACTTTTATCAAAAACTAGAGTTGGTTGTTAACCGATGTGGCTTACAGACCAAACCACGAAATATATTTAACTGCGATGAGACCGGATTTCAAACCGATGCTGGTGTCCAAAAAGTGCTTTGTAGGAGAGGAAGTCGTAATCCAAATAAATTTGTTGCCAGTTCTACAAAAGCTACGTACACAGTTCTAATGTGCTGCAATGCCATTGGTGATTTTTTGCCGATGTTCATTAATTACAAAGGGTTGCATCTGTACCATGCTTGGTGTGTTAATGGTCCACCAATGCTTGTTACAACTATTCCCCATCTAACTGGATGGAATCGGCTCAATTTTTTGATTGGTTCATAAGCTGTTTTGTACCGGAAACTTCAAAATATGAAGGAACGAAATTACTAATTCTCGATAGTCATAACTCGCACATATC